CTTATCGAGGTTACATAATTCTGGTACAGACCAAAGAGGTACTTCAATGAATTAAAGTAGGAAAACACCTGCAGTCTTTTAAAACGTGTTTAAGTAATTATTTGATAGCTTAGTAGTTGTCAGTGCAATGAAAAACACAACAAAAATAATAATAATAAATAAAATAATGATATAAAAACACCACACATATCAGGACAAAATTAACACTGACGTAGAGATACAAATAACTGTAAGTGGATGAAAGTAAATAAAAATAAAATAAAGAGGAAGACGCATGAAGAATTAACTTAAAGTGTTGAAATATAAACTTTTAATGTTGGAATAGCACCGGCGTAAAAATTTATTTTTTTAAAGCTTTTCCCATTTTCCTCTTTTGGCTATGCAGTTTAGGTGAAAGCGAAAGATAAGCGGTGAAAAAATTTTTTTAGAGATGATGCCATTTTACTGCTTTCACTTTAGCAAATTTTGTTTTGTTTCAGTTTCAAAATGTTACGTGTTACGCATAAGATAATGGTTTTATCTTAGATCTTTGCTAGGCCAGAAAAATGTAGAAGACTAACTTGAGTTGAAATGCACTGCCGTGGATGATGTGCAGCATGATAGCAGCAAGCGAATGAACGTCGCGACTGGAACAGGGATAGAGACCACTTAGGTAGTTCTGGCGACATTCCTCGTAAAGAAGAGAGAGTGCCATCGGAGTCATCTCCACCTTAACACATATTTATGCTAAATGCAGCAAAAAATTACACAGTTTATTGGCTCGTTTTATATGATAAATCCTCCAGAGGGAAAACATTGTCTTTCCCCCTCCCCCTCCCCCTCCCCCAACCCCTTTCCTTTTTTCCGCTTGGTTTCTTCTCTCTTCCAGAAAACAGCATCAGTGTTATCATTATGGATGGAAATGGGTTATTTCACACAGTAACTGAATTACCAGGTACATCCGATTCTGTTTCACCCAGTTCCTCCTACCTCGCTTTCCTTTCTTCTTCTTCCCACTCACACTTCTACCTTTTCCCTTTTCCCAGCTCCTATTCAGTTAAACAGAAAAATACGAGAAAATAGAATAACTATCACCTGCTTTTCATCGCGTAAAGTAAGTCGAGCATCTCGCCGAAAGAAAATCCTTGGCGCATCATTATCGTGAGCATCAGTTTCGTCGCTACCAAACTTTGCTATTTTACTCTTCCATTTGTTCATGTGTTGTAATATCTTATGTTCCGATTTCAGCTGCAAACCTAAAACTTTCCAAAAATATAATTTCTGAAACTTCTGTTTGGTAACATAGTCACGGATTTCCTGCAGAAAAGTCATGGAAGATTTCTTTTGCAATTTTCGAAAGGGAAAAGTGAAAAATATTTTGTTTAGTAATTTTCATTGTCATGGCTAGAACAACCAGCCTCTCCACGATTCGTTTATTCGTTGTATGGTCCTGGCACATTCAAAGAAAACAAATCCGCAATCAACTTTCTTCCAAATAGATTTTGAAAAAAAAGACCCATGTATTGCGGAAAACTCGCGAAATGTAGGCCAGGGAGCCATTACAAAGAAAAAAAAAAAGTGTATCTTGCCTTAAAAGGCAGATACACAGTAGACGTGCTGGCAAGCTAAACCTGAAGCACAAGGATCGGTGGTGTAACACATTACGTCGGAGGTGAAGAGGAGTAGTTCTATTCCCTCCCCAGTAAAGAACAATTTTCGAAAAAAGGCTCAGTTCAGTAGCCTTGCTATTACTTATATGCGTTACCTACCACTTGGGCTACTTCTGAGAGCCTGGTCTCTTACAGAAAATGAATACGAAAGAGGCAAAGAGTAAGAATTCTGCGCAATTACTGTCACCTACAATCAGTGGTGCAGTCTAATTTTCGAAAAGAATAAGACTTTCCGGAGGACCAAAAGTGCTAAATCTTACTCAAACGATCTGAGCAAATCCATATTGCAAACAGCCGTCCACTGTCTTCATTAAACTTTAGTTCCTTGCACATTTCCGCATGCAGCTGTCCCGCTGTTGTATCCTGTCCGCTGCTAAGTAATAACTGCGCATTGCCACCATCCATCAGCTCAACCTATAATCCAGCAGTTTTTGAACTGTAATTCTGCGCAATTCTTGCAGTTTTTTGCAAAAACCAAATGCGGACCACAATAAGCTACTTCAGTAGAATTTCATACTCCGGACCTTCCCAGAAAGGAAGATAGTATGAAATTCTATTGAAGTAGCTTACTGTGGTCGAAACATGGCAGCAAACGTTAAACGCCAATTACATCTCGATAGAGCTAAAGCCTTGCTACGAGCTTTTATCGGGAGAGTCGTCGAGTTGGTAATTCGTTCAGGAAACGAATGAACTAACCACCAGACGCTGTAGCAATGGTCAAAGCAAATGGAAAAATTGTCAACTGCAGAGCTGGAGAATCATATTCTATGTTACAAACTGGCTGAACTATCAAAACAAAGCAATCAGCTTCCGGAAAAAGAAGGCACACCTTTTTTTTGATCGCCAGAACTATTTTTTTTTTTCAAATACAAAGCTTTCTATACTAAAAAATCCAGTATTTTAGGACCAAGTGTTTGTTTTTAGAGTAATTTAATATTTCTAAGCTAGTTTTGAAACCCTCTGCTCTTGTTACATTTGATGCTTCGCAGTCGGTTAAATATTTCACTTTTTTGCATAATTCGTGTTTTTCACTACTTCTCGAATAAGCAGGTTTTAAGCCTTTCATGACAAAGAAAGAAAAGCTCTTGAGTGCCAAACTAGGTACTGCACTAGACCCGTACAAAGGAAACCTCTTTGGGAGGTTTGTTTCAGAATAAGCATCTGAGAATACCTGTATTTTATCGAGTCGTTTCCAGGCACGTAATAATTTCGCCACCTTCTGATAATCATCCTTGGGAACGCAATCACATACGTCTATTGGTCGTCGCCCAGTACAATCTCGCACATCCTTCAGCAAATCATTAATTTATATGGACATTTCATTATTGCCGTTACTGTAGTAAGGTGAATATCAAAAAACACGAACATTTTAAAAATATTTTTATCAGAAGCGTTGAACCAGTAATCCAAATAGGCGACAAAACGAAAATTAGGATCGCTAGCGGGCTGGCTTGCAAGCGATGCATCACTGGTCAAAGCAACTGGGAAAGTTGCAGTATGTAAAATTAAGTTAGTAAAAGTATCAAAATGCGAGGATAGATACTAGTTATACGTGCACAAAAAATATTTTCCTGATAGCTTAACAAATCCTGAAATTAACCCTCGAATCCATACTAGTTATCACTTAAATGAGCACTAAGACGCAGTAAGGAATTATTACTATACATTTATGCTACTTTCAGGCTAAATACGGGTTGTTCGATAATATCAGTGAAAAAATCGATCCCTCAAATCCCTTTGTTTCACATTAGAAGTGATGCGCATCAAAAATTTTCATTTTTTTTTTTTGTTTTTTAAGCCGAAATAGCCTTTTCTCTTGCAAATAATGGCATTTTCGAAACGTAGAAGGCAGACGAGTGTTAGCAGAAAGGTCTCCTGAAGACAAGCCTCC